GTAAGCTCATTAGATGTTAGCACTTCATCAACACGTCTGCAGCAGACAGAGGGAGGGAGGCTTCAGATATTAGTTTGTCCAAGTGGTGGTTATGATGATGATGATGATGATGATGATGATGATGATGATTATGACTCATTGAATCCCCCTTCAGATGTCCGGGCGGTCTGTAGCTTCAGCCCTGCAGCCAGCAGCAGGTCTGTTTGTCCGTCCCTCTCTGGCTGCTGACATCAGAACTGTTATACTGTAAGGCAGGGGTAACCAATTAAAAATCAGGGTCCGAATAAAGAAAACCATTAACCAGTAAAGGCCCGGAGACATTTTTAGTTATAATCTGTTACTTTAAACTGAATTTGAAAGAAAATGAGGTTTTTATGCATCCATGTTTATACAATGAATTTTAAAATAATTTTTTTATTTATTGTTTTTTTTTTTTTAAGTAGAGAACAACAATCGTTCAGTTTGGTATATAGACAATTTTCTGATTCACATATTTTATAAAACACCTGAACTTTTTCTTTTTTCTGTCTTAATGTTGGCAGTGGGCTTTAGGCTGCCCTGCAAGGCTTTAAACCTGGGTTTGAATGGAGACTAAGTCATTCTCAAGCACATATCAAGCTGCTCATTTTGAGCCTGGATCAATATTTTTTTTTAAATTCTGTTCATGGTGGAGAATCCTGCTTCACAGCAGCAGGTTGAGCCAAACATCCTCTAAATGTGCAGGGTCATCTTTGAGCACGCCATTTCACTTTTCTTTCACCAGTTCACTGCAGTTCTTCCAGCAGTCCAAACTTTCTCTGCTCTCTTTTTCTCATTGTCTTCTCCTTCTTTCCCATCGCCCGGCTTGCCACAGGTTTGCCTGCTGTGTCTAAAAGTAGCAGCAGCAGCAACCCAGACTGACAGCAGCTCATTGGAAAATTAGTATCACAAGCAGCCTGGTCCTGGACACTCTGGAGGGCTTTACCATATTACCAGGAGATGTGGCGCAAGTGAAGTTAGACACAGTTATCGGACAACATGCGGTAATTTATAAATGTTTTAAATCAGGTTGGGTCCAGATTAGCCTGCAGGTGGATGCGGATTCAGACCCTGGTCCGCTAATTCGTGACCTCTGCTGTAGGGGAAAACTGTCGGGACCATGCTATGCTTCTGCTTCTGTATGATGGTGCAATTAAATGTCATCTAATTCTGATAATCACCGTAATGAGGCTGAGATGAAGAGCCCTATGCAGCAGCTGGGGTCTGTCTTAGATCTACTGCTTAAAATGAAGCTGCAAAGTTCTGCAGCATGTTTATAGTCCAGATCCAGCTCATTCCTCCATCGTTCACTTTTCTTCGGCTGTTTCCCAGTTTTTTTATGTTGCTCTGAGACCTAACCGTTGTCAGAGGGTCATTTGCTCGATGCTTCCCTCTGATCTAAAAAATGCTCCTAAACTAAAGAGATGATTTCATGTTGGGTCATGAGCAAACGAAGGACCGTGAATCTTTAATATCTTTGAAGGCGTGACCCTTAGATAAGCCTCCCCGCGTCAGAGTTTCTGTGTGGCTTTTGTTTTGTGATTGCTTTACTTTAAAGGAGCAGAATATAAATCTTTCCTTCAATCTTCTATGTGCTGTTTTCACACACGATAAACTCCATCAATGTTAGAAACCTGCAGTCTTGCTTTTAGTGAGCTAAACTCTGAACTGAGGTGTTTAATGTTCTATGAATCAGCCTGCAGTTCAGTCAATAAAGGTCCTAATTGTGACCAATATGGGAATATAATGGGACTGAGTCATTCAGGTCACAGTCATTCCAAAAAAAGTTAAAGAACAATCCACTGGACTTGTTTTCTAAGTTGGAAGACGTTTCGCTTCCCATCCACAAAGCTTTTTCAATTCAAAATGTCGGAATTAGCGTTGAGTTCGAGGCTTTATAGAGCAGCCCAAAACAAAAGTCTTTGGTCTACTCTAAAGCTTGGAACTCCAGACATTTTAAATTGAGAAAGCGTTTTGGATTTGAAGCGAAACGTCTTTAAACTTATAAAACAAGTCCAGTTGATTGTTTTTTTACTTTTTTCAATTTACCTTTCCAGATACAACCAAAAACTGCTGTTAAAATCATGAACAAGTTAGGTTATTTTAGTTTATCACTCATATTTATGTTGGTTCAAAACACATAGATCAGAATATTCTATTATGTAATATTTTAGCCTCTTATTATTATTATAATTTTGGTGATTTTTAGATAAGAACCTGTGATTTCTTAGAAAATTGGGATATTCCAAAATAAAAGCCTCAGCAAAACCACTGGCTGGTCTCCTTTATACCATACTGATGCAGTAAATCAAGCAAACGGAGCCTGCAAAAGCTGATCTACACATAAATTCCTTTAATTAATTATGTTTGCCTTTGATTGAAGCAGATAAATAAAATCATGTTCGTACCATCTGAATAAAATAATATAACGTTATGCACTGGTAATAAGATAATTACGTTTTTTCTCTTTTCTATTTAATATTTAATTTTTTACAAAAATCATCTTCCTCCATCCGCAAATTGCCTCACTAACTTGTTCATATCAAGAAAAAAGTCATTTATTTCAAGAGAAATAGATTTTCTTCATAGTTAATTTTTGCACTGAGCCAAGTACTGATTGAGAGCCTGATATTCTGTTTTAATGATCCTCCCCTTATTTGGGATTTTCATTACATTTAAGCCATAATGAACCAAAAAATAAATAAATAAATAAATAAAGGGTTAACAAATTCTATTATATATGCATTAAATCTATACAATGAATATTTTTCCCTTTCTGAATAATGTATTTAGAGTCCTGTTAATGACTTAAACCTAATCTGGTTCAACTAAGCCCAGATCATCAGCCCTCCACCTCTTTACATTCAGTGTGCAGCTTCAATGTTTCAATGAGCTGACCGATAATCAGCCTAGATTTCCTGATTTTTAGGAGATCTGTGATTGGCCATTTACTTGGATATGAATCAGATCTCTGAAACTTTCCATTCATGTTAATGTGATCTACCTCATGCACAGTTAAAACATGTTTAGTATTTCAGGGTTATTGTTCAATGTTTTTCAGTAAAATTAGATCGAAATATGGAAAGTGTATGGGGATCTTAAAACATTATGTATTGAATTATATACATTTCACAGTTTTTTTCAATGATTGGCCAGAAAACAGCAACCAGGGAGCTCCTAATAAGCGGCTTTCCAAACCGGAGTCCTGCAGCCAGTTCAGTGTTTTTCATATCAGCCCTTCTTGAACTCTAACCTTCATACTGATGATCATTTCCAAACATCTCTAGCTGGCATTTATCTATTGGTTCTTTGATTGGATGAAAGCTTGAATTGTGTTTTTTCTTCTTTTGGACATCAAGGTTTTCCATTTTAACTAATCTAGGGAGTCATAGTGGTGTTTTTGACCCGTCCTCTCATGACCTTTAACCTGCTAACTGTGGCCTCTGACCTTTGGTCCAGTTCTGAGAAAGTTGACAGCTATCTGAGATGTTTTCCTCTGGGAAGAGTTTTTTTTTTTTTCCTTTAGACCACATATGTCAAAGTCAAGGCCAAGGAATTGTTTATCCATGGCCCCATGGATGATATTTAATTACCGTTAGAACTGGCCCACAGGCCACGGCCGCTGGTGTATGCTGCTGTGACTTCGCAGCATACTGTTGCATTGTGGGGAATGTAGTGTTGGTGCGGTTGTGTTTGACGCACCAACACTACATTCCCAGGGGAAAACATGTGTTTTTCTTTTATTAATTTTTTTGTGCTTTGCATGTTTAGATTGTTTTTTTGTTTTTTTGCTTTTCCCTTTTTATCAATCCAAGCTGGGCTGAAGTTGTTGTCTCACTAACTGCGCTCTGCAGAGGCTGATTGAGGCCAAAATAAAAAGAGCCTGGATGGAGGGAGGAGCAGAGCTGATCCTGCAGGTAAGAGACGGACACGCTGCCGAGCGAGCGGCAGGTGGGATCCACACGATACTCTGATCGAGGCGGAGCACTACTTACAGGCGCAGACCTCTGCCCTGACTGTGCCGTCTGTTCACCTCCCGGTATTCTGTGCCTGGCGTGCAGATCCCACCTGACCCTCACTTAGCAGCATGTCCGCAGCAGCTCCGCCCCTCCCTCCATCCAGGCTCTTTTTATTTTGGCTTCAATCAGTCTCTGCTGACACCTGTAGTCTGTAGTCTTTTTGATTCTTCAGTCCTTTTTGGTATTGCTCTGCTTTTTGTTTAATAAATTCCTTTTTTAAATAACCTCTGGTTGAATTCTGGGTCCGCTGCCATGATTCATCACAAAATTTTTACATTTCTCTGTACAAGATGTTATTTTTCTTTTTAGGAAGTATTTTTGTTTGTGTGCCATAGATTTTGGTATTTAATAAATAAAATATATTTATTCATACTTTTCAGTTGAATGGAATCAGGAAAAAATGCAAATAAGAAACATAAGAGAGAATACAACTGATTTGATGTTTTTCCTATTTTACTATTTGAAAGCAGTGATCGGTAGAATCATAGAGCAGCACGGTAATGCATTTTCGGTTTATAGTACATGCACTTTTATGTATGCATTTATCTTAATAAGTTTATTAATATAGTAAAAGTTTACTAATAATATTAATATTAATATTTTGTTTTAAAAAAAACAACATGTTAGGTCTTGGTTTAATAGGCTATGTTCATTTCAATATGTTTTAATAAACATTTAACCAGTCCGGCCCTCGGTTTGTAGCAAATTAGTTTCTTTGGCTCTCTGTGTATTTGACTTTGACATTCCTGCTTTAGACTGATGGACTAAAGCTTATAAACCTTCCCAGGTTGATGAGCAGCTGTTTGTCTCTTTAGTTTAAACACAGGGCCATCTTTTATTGACCCTGATGATGTTTATGAAATGATAGCAGTCAAGCAGCTGCCTTTTTCTGCTGCTCAGAGGCTATTTTTACCGTTTCTACATTTGCAGACTTTAAAATGCAAAACATCTCTTTCCTTTCAGTGCCTTTCCGTGAGGCTCCAGCCTACTCCAAACGCCGGCGGGGTCCGTCCTCTGGCGGCGGAAACGGCCAGTCGCCGTCCTCTCTATCAGCGCCACGGGTCCTCCTGCGCTCCAACAGCGACAACAACCTTTCTGTGAGCCAGTACCAGCAGCACGGTTCTCCTGGAAATTGGGCCCCCCATCTGCAGCAGCACCAACAGACCCACCAACACAGGGCCCCCCAGCAGGGTCACTCGCAGCCTGGCTCCTCAGCTTTACACCGCAGCCTGTCCCCTCAGCTGGTCCAGCAGATGCCCAGCGGCAGCCCCAATGGCAACGTGGTGGCCAGAACTATGGGGAGGGGGGCAAGGAGCCGCTCCCCCTCCCTCAGCCGGCTGGGGGAGGAGAACAGACGTGCTCAGACTTCACAGCGACAGCCCAGGTGAGAGCTGAATGTTATCTAATCCCTGACTGCCTACAAAATGTCTGGAGGTTGGAAAACCCAAAGCAGGTTATTGTTGATGAAGGTGAAGAACGAGTTATTAGCTCAGAGGATCGTTACTTTTTCACTGGTTTGGTTCCATCTTTCTCTTAAACATCAAACCATCATTTTAAATCAATATTTCACTTTTTCTCAGGTTATCCGTTTCCTAATGATCTAAAATATTTGGTGCCGGATGGTCAGAAGCTTTGCAGGTGTGAACATGTTTAGACGCTCAGAGCAGATCTTCAAAGAAGGTGTGAAGTGATTTTGTTTGCAGTTCAGCCAACAGTGTCTGCAAAGCTTTTTTCTATTTTTTGCGTTCCTTCATCAATATGCAGATCATGTTCTAATGAGCAAACTGCAAACATTTGGAGAGGCTATGCAAGTGTACATGCATCATGTGCAAAGCGATTTTCAAGATGAGAAACTCAACTTTTTGTGTCCTTTTTTTAAACTTCTGCAAGTCAGGTACAAACTGATAAACAGCAATACCCCTCGTCCTTTTTGCCACGTCAACATGAAGCTCGACGATGGAGATATAAACTGGTAGAATAATATTAATAAAGAAAGAATGGTAGGCAGCAGAGTGGCAGACTCTATAGATAGACTTCTACTCTACTCTACAGTATTTAACTAAAGTTAAATACTGTACTGTTTATAAAGAAATATGGAATATCAACAGATCTTCCAGCTTTACAGACAATAGTAAATAAATAACGTTTATCATTAATACTTCCAGCTACATGGCTTAGAACCTCGTCTTTCTTTTTTAACCACTTTCCCCTGCCAGTGGAACGATCTGCTCTTTTTAATGACAGGGAATGAAATCGGTTTGCATGTTTTAACATTTGCTCAGAAATCTTTGTAGATCAACAAACCAACTTATTCCACATACTATAGAAACATTGCATTGCACTTCAGCCTCTCTTATTGGATTTATTGAAGATCAGGCCCTTTGTGTTCTTCAAATTGACCATATCGCCACCTGCTGGCTTGGCATTAGTGTTGCACTTTTCTTTATTATACGAATGTTTAATGTGAAAGTTCTTTCTGCAGTTTGGAGATATTTAAGCTCCGTTAGTTAGATTTAGTTGGACTTCTATACAAGAAGAACGGGACAAGAAAGGATGAAAACTGATTTGTGTGTCTGCGTCTGGTGAAACCGTGAAACCTTCCGGAGAATGTTTCACTAGAACTTGGAGAACTTTTTAGGGAATGTCAGGGCCTATGGAACAGAACCGCTCCCTCATTCTGGACCATTAGGTTCAAGGTTTCCCAGCAGACTGGTTTTGGGTCAGGTTCTAGAAGTGGGTCAGGTTCTGGTGTTGGGTCAGGTTCTGATGTTTGGTCAGGTTCTGGTGTTGTGCCAGGTTCTGTCGTTGGATCAGGTTCTGGTATTGGATTGTTCTGGTGTTGGGTCAGGTTCTGGTGATGGGTCAGGTTCTGGTTTTGGGTCAAGTTCTGGTGTTGGGTCAGGTTCTGATGTTTGGTCAGGTTCTGGTGTTGTGCCAGGTTCTGTCGGTGGATCAGGTTCTGGTATTGGATTGTTCTGGTGTTGGGTCAGGTTCTGTTGGTGAGTCAGGTTCTGTCGGTGGATCAGAGCCTGATGTTGCATCAGGTTCTGGTATTGGATTAGGTTCTTGTGTTGGGTCGGGTTCTGATGTTTGGTCAGGTTCTGTCGTTTAATCAGGTTCTGTCGTTTAATCAGGTTCTGTCGTTTAATCAGGTTCTGTCGTTTAATCAGGTTCTGTCGTTTAATCAGGTTCTGTCGGTGCATCAGTTTCTGGTTATGGGTCAGGTTCAGGTGTTGGGTCTGGTTCTGCCTGCTAATTGGATCCAGAATTAAAGCTGCTAGCAAAAAGCATGATGAATTCCTCTTTCCTGGTCATGATCAGAATGTGATTCTCAGCTTTTAGATTTAGTTTCTTTTCCTTTTGAGTTTTTAATCTTCAGTCAGATTTTTCCAGATCTTTCAAATAATGGATTCACTTCTGAAGGATCATTTTATCTTGAATGAGGTAATAAAGATTTCTCCTCAGTTAAATTTAATCTCTTCTAAAAACATTTGAAGTTATAGAAACACTTCAGATTTTGTTTTTTAGTCTAGTTTGTGTATTTTAAAGTTACCGAATATTGAAACCATGGAAAGAGAACGATTTTTCTTTAGCAGCTATTCTTGGTGGTTTGTTTTCTTCTTCTGCTGTACGTACAGTACAGCATCACCCCCACCCCCACTCATTGAAAATGTATGATAGCTTAATCTCGGAAAACAGTACCAGAAAAACTCCACTGTAGCCATGGCAACGGTTGCCCTACACGCCTGGGGGTAACATGTGGATGTGTGTTGGATGTTCATTCAGAACCTGGTCAGCCGACATGCAGAAGAGACTGTCACACATGGAGCATTTAGATGACGTGCAGCTGTATCGGCGTGACGTGACTTAATCTAGAGCAGGACACCTGATCCCCAGCCTCCTCCTCATCCTCCTCCTCCTCCTCCTCCTTCCTAGCAGATGGGCACATTCACTCTCAGAAGCTCACAGATCTCATACATTCCTTTACATTAAGGTGTGAGGATGAAGGAAGAAGGATGATGATGAAAGACAGGGAAGGCATAAACATCCCAAAGTGTTTTTTGACACTGGTGTAAAACTCTTTGGAGAGAAAGTTGGGTTTTTTTTTTTGTACTGCAGCCATTCTTGGACTTTTTAGGTTTGACTGGAGAAGTAAACTCTTCATTGGGTGACATCTCAAAGTTGTTGGTTTGATTCCAGCTTCCACAATGGTCAAATTATCCATATTTAGATGTATGAACCTAGGAATGTACCTTTGACTAGAACTCCTATGTTTGAATTAACTTTTTTCACATTTATATTACAGCCTCTCTCTCTCAGCCGTATGACATTGTGAAAAATAAATTTGTTTATTTTTCCAGATGGTTGCAAATTAATTTATTTACAAGAAACAATTTCTGTTAGGATTAGGATCTGGGAGGTGCTGACTGCTTGCTTCCACTGATCATTTGTGAGGTGTCTCTACCTAATAGAGTTCATCGGTGGTAAAGTCAAGGAAGAAATGTGCACACCTGTCTATCTAAGGCCCCACAGTGATTGTCAGAGGGCAAACACCAAGCATGAAGTCACAGGAGTTCTCTGTACATGTCTAACATTATGGTCTGGAGGCACAAAAGAGGAAAAATCCAAAACATTTCTCCTGCTTTTTTTCTAATGAGGACAGTAGCCCCCCATCACTGATAAGTGGACAAAGTTTGGAACCAAAGGGACATAAAAGGACCTCAGTCAGGGAGCCAAGCCCCCTATCTGAGCTCCACTGTAGAGATTTGAACTGCTTTGGACCTCATTAAAAGGCAAATGGCAGCCTGTCCGGAGTTAACTAAAGGGCACCTGAAGGATTCTAAGACCACGAGGGACAACATTTTCTGTTGATAAGAGACAAAGAGTGAACTCTTTGGTGTGAAAAGGACTGGAACAGAACCACTCTGTGAATATCATGGAGTGACCAAACTTATATCTGATTAACCATTTCTGGAGCGACCTTCTTCACAGATGTTTTCCCAGCCAACCTGACAAAGCTTGAGATGTTCTGCAAAGAAGAATGATCTGAACTGATCCTAAAGATGGGTGAACTGAGCTGGAGGCACAGATCCAAAGACTAGAGGCTGGAACTGTTGCCAAAGGGGGGATCAACATGCTGCAACACAGCAATGTATTGATGGTTCCTTTTATTTTCTCCCTAATGAGCTGCATGTTTTCCTTAAAATTACTCCTGCCTAAGAAAACATCTACCTGCTCATATATTCATTTTAAAAGCACTGAAATATGTTTGGATTACAAGAACATCCATCCATCCATCCATCCATCCATCCATCCATCCATCCATCCATCCATCCATCCATCCATCCATCCATCCATCCATCCATCCATCCATCCATCCATCCATCCATCCATCCATCCATCCATCCATCCATCCATCCATCCATCCATCCAGATATTACAGCCTCTACAGCTGGAGAAATATTTGCTGTAAAACCCTATTTTCATTTTTTTTTATTTTACACAATAAATCGGAAGAAAATGACGCAATTTCACAAAAAAAATATTTTTAAAACCTCTCCTTAGACTAAAGGGAATAAATAAATGTCAGATTAAGGTCAGGGTGCAGCGGCTGTGGCAGAGCTGCAGCCGGCAGACGTCACGCTCCTGCAGTCCCATTCCTAATCATTGGTTTCTGCAGGAAGTAAATCCTTTATAAACAAATTTATTTTAATGTGGTTATGTGTGCGCTGCAGTATGTGGAGCCAAACCGTTGCTATTTTTAGAGTGTCCTATGGGTGATCATTACTCCCCAGTCCTCATAAGAACGTGCTTTATCTGTGTTTCTGTTTTAGTCCTACAGTATGAGATCAGAGCAAAGAGGACAGACAACTTTAAAAACAATTCAGCACCACAAAGAAAAAAATACATTTCATTTGGCTCTGGTGGGTTCAAAATCCTCTGCTCCACATTTTAAAGTTTCTCTTCTGTAGGCGACACAAAATTCTTAACCAAAAGGTAACGATAATGAGAGGAAGATATAGCATGTTAGTTTTATTTTAATTTCCTCCTGACTCTGCTAATCCAGAGATTCTTCAGTGATGTTCAGACAACATTATGTGCTTCAGATTGTTGGAGATTATAACCAGCAGAGTTCCACTGTTAACACCTGCAGGTTTCAGCCTCATCAGCAGGTTTGCAGATTCAAAACTGGAACTTTTAATGACTCCATCGTTACAGATTGCCGTTATGATTATGTCAGTGTGAGCGACAGATTAATCCATCCTGAGCCCTCAGAGCTCCTCCAGAACCAGGCTGTAGATAATGGCTCTGCTACCAGAGATGTTCTAGACTTTGTTTTTTTCTTCTTTTTCTTTTTTTTTCACACCAACTGCGGATTAATTT